AAACAGCCTATCTGCTCTGAGTTCACCCCATTGAGACCAGGATGAGAGTGGCAGTGTGGATGAGAGGAGGTAGCCACGCACTCGGGCCTTTGGTCACGGTTCCACTTTGCTGCTCTCTCCCTTAGCCATGTGGGTCTCTCCACTTTTCCAGAACAAATCAGAATCTGTCCCCTGTGTCACTTCCAGCAACAAATCCTTTTTTTTTTGGAGAGGTTTTTTTCTAAAGGGCACATACACTCACCAGAAAGACAGAGACAGAAAGTGAGACATCATCCCCTGGGGGGATGACCATGCCACAATCCCTTCTCCTCCATTCTCCTCTCAGGATCTTGGGCAACAGCATGAGTTTAAGCCACTGAGTCCAGGACTCGAACCGCAGTCGACTACATGGGAGTCCAGCGACATAGCCATTACGCTAACTGTTGGTCCCAACAAATCCTACTTCTGCTTGGGTCTGATACCTGCTAGAATCCAAAACTTCCCCCGATTCTCAGAGTCCTCGCACCCAGGACTTCCCCTGCACGGATGCAGCAGGCCTGTCTCCAAGCCCAGAGTCACACTGCCCGGTATGATGGGAACAGGCTGCACCGAGATCCATCTCATGCTTCCACCTGGGGACCGTCTGCTGCCCCAGGTCTTCCCCAGGGGTGCAGGCCGCCCAACTTGCAGGCCAGCTTCCTCCCACTCAGCCTCTCGCCTGGCTGTGTCGTCCTAGGCAGTCACTTACCTCGTCTCCTCATCTCAGAACGACCCTAACTGTACCGTCTTCTGAGGTGCTGTTGGCCTTGACTAAGCTCGGCCTAAAGGTCCCCAGTGCCCCAGAGCTGGTCAGGAGTCCAGCAGCATGGCCATCCCCCCAGGGATTCGCTAAAAACACCCCTCTTCTCCAGGGCAGTGGACTCCTGCTCCTTCAGCTTTCTTTCTTGGGCAGATTTTCATTCCAAAATGAAATGCCAGCTTATTTCCATGAAGTAGTTTAGAATTTCATAATCTCCAAGAACCGGGAAGCAGAGGAGAGCTGATCGCAGGAAGAAAAAAGTTCTGCAGGACCGGAGCAGCGGGCAGCACCGCCGTCTCCCCTGACCTCTGGTCAGGGCGGGAATTAAATACCTCTTACCTGAAACGCTCGGGACCAGAAGCAGACAGTGCGCTTTCCCCCACTTTTTCTTTTTGGATCTTGGAACACTTACATGTAAAAGTGATGTGTCGAGGATGGGACCCAAGACTAAGCACGAAATTCATCTGTTTCATAGACATATTAGGCACATAGGCTGAAGGTAATGTCATATGATGGGTTTGTATTGCAGCATTTGACTGACCTGTCACCTGAGGTCAGTTCTGGAATTTTCCACTTGTGGTGTCATGTCAGTGCTCAAGAGGTTCCATATTTCAGGTGTTTCGGATACTGGCTTTTGGATTGGAGTGTTGCACCCATTTAACTAACACGTTGGCTTTGATTTATTAGGAAGATGGTTGGTTTTATAGATTTAGGAGTGAATGTAGTAAAAGAACTAAGATCTGAACCCAAGGTTCTCTGACCTCAGAGCTCATGGCCTCACCCACGGACTCTGCTGTCAGCGGGGCAGTTGTTACGATAGAAAGTGCTGGTCTGGCACCAGCAGGTGGCATAGTGGTTAAGTCATTGGACTCCCACATGGATGACCGCAGTTCGAGTCCGACACCTGGCGGCTTGAAACTCACACTGGACACGTGTGCACGTGTGTCCAAAACCCCAGGAGGAGAACAGACGAGGGGGGACGTGGAGTGGCCCTCCTTCCTGGGTGGTGATTTCTCACTTCCCCTTCATCGTCTCTGGCGAGCACACACGAGCTGATCAACAGGGAGAGCCATTCTGAGTGGCTGGCGGACTTGTCCTTTCCTTTTCCCTGCTGTTTACGCACTTCACTTGTGGTAGAGCACCCTGCGTGCACTCGTGAACGAGAGCAGCGCACCCAGCACGTCTGCTCGCACCGCGACGCCCTCCTTCCAGCCTGCCCGCTCGGGAACCCGGGCACACACACGCCTGGTGTGCTTCAGGTTGACGGGGCCATAGCTCCGAGCCCGCAGGTGGCCACGCGCTTCCAACACTGCAGGCCGCTGTGCGCCGACCGCCCCGCGAGGCTGGGCCTGGAGTTGAACGAGAGCAGCGCACCCAGCACGTCTGCTCGCACCGCGACGCCCTCCTTCCAGCCTGCCCGCTCGGGAACCCGGGCACACACACGCCTGGTGTGCTTCAGGTTGACGGGGCCATAGCTCCGAGCCCGCAGGTGGCCACGCGCTTCCAACACTGCAGGCCGCTGTGCGCCGACCGCCCCGCGAGGCTGGGCCTGGAGTGCTCTCCCCATGGGAGTGCTGGAGACTGGTCTGGGAGCCAC